TTTGCACCTACCAAAAATTTAAAGTTTAAGTAATTATTGCTAGATATTTTATTAAGAGAAAGCGAATTTAGCACCTACCTAAAGTTACAGATGCAATTATTTTGATTATAATGGTATCAGAATCGCTAAAATTGGTCCATAGTATCTCGAAATATAAGCATTTAAATCTTCACAAATATGCAAAACCTATTGTACCTACCAAATAATTGTGAAGATAAAAATACATATATCTTGCGATCTACCAAATCAATTTTAGCAATTTTGATTTCATTAGAATTGAATACTCGCCTCTAAAACTTTAATTAGAGGAGTAAGAGGGATTTTCTTAGTAAAATATCTGAAAAAATATTTTTTTAATATTTTATAAAATGCAATTTGCAAGCTATTTAACTAAGTAAATCTTCCATGTACCTCTAATTAAAGCTTTAGAGGTGATTATTTTAATTCTAATGAAACCAAGATCGCTAAAATTTGTTTGGTATATTGGAGTTATATGCATTTTTATCTTCGCGATTATTTGGTAGGTACAATAGGTTTTCGCATATTCGCGAAGATTTAAATGCTTATATTTCAAGAAACAATGGACCAATTTTAGTGATTCTGGTACCATTCTAATCTTAATAATGGCCTCTGCAACTTTAGTTGGAGGCTAAATTCGGTGCTCTTAATAAAATATTTAGCAATAGTTACTTAAACTTTGATTTTTTGGTAAGTGTAAAATCACGTGATTTGGTAGGTGTCCAGAGACTTTCCCCAAAATGTCCAGATGATCATCACGTGATTGGGTTATACAAACTATATTTGGGTAAGTGTACTACTATACATGCTTTGATCGCAATGTCCGGATGATCACCACGTGATTAGGCACATAACTATAATTGGGTAATGTTGCTACAGTACTACTAGACGTGCCTTGATTAAATTGTCCAAATGTCCAACACGTAATACAAACTATGATTGGGTAAAAACTACTTATAGTACTACTAGACATGCTTTGATCAAAATGTCCGGATGTCCAACACATAACACAAACTATGATTGGGTAGAAACTACTTATGGTACTACTAGACATGCTTTGATCAAAATGTGATGTCCAACACATGCTACAAACTATTATTGGATAAAATCTACTTATTCCTCGCTTCTTATTTATACTCCTATACTATTTTTTCTCACTTATTGCCAGATCGTACGAAATTTTACATCTTTTTGATTTACAAAATTTTAAAGCTACTGATGAAAAGTAAAAGTTGATGCCTAAAAAAAAAAATAAACTAAAGTTAAAGAAACCGAAAGCAGTTATGTGCTTGTAGTAAAGCTAAATTTTATGAAATACGCAACTTTTAATTTGAAAAGTATAACAACTAGAATTAATCAGTTATTTACGAAGTGGACGTAACCCAGATCGGATGATCAAACACAAAATAAATAGGTACTGTGTCATGCAGATCTTTTTTAAATCTCAAAAAATATTTACCTTCTTACATATTCTTTCACGTTCTACTGTGTACTACAGTATTAATTAATATATCATAGATTGCAACACAAAAAAAAAAAATAAATAATAAAAATAACAGAAAAAAGGGTTTTATTGTGTTTATCAAACTCTTATAAGAGAAACTAATCGTTCTTCCTCAGCCTTTCTATTTTGCAGGCACTTAGAATTTCCTATGCGTTGGAGCCTTTCAAAAGAAAATGGCCGAAACATGAGATCCTTTAAAGCATGAACTCAAGACACTGCTACAAACGAAAAACCAGCAGCATACTCTCTTTCTCCAAGATATACATTGGCTTTTGACAATGTGAGTCCTTGGCTTTTATAAACGGTAACGGCCCATGTGAGACTAATAGGAAGTTGTAAGTGTGAACAGGTTCCAGTTTTTGTTTCCTATATTTGTTGAATAGGTAATATAGGAACAAGTTTCTTGCCTTCTAACGTTAACACAGGACCATTATAATTGTCAAATTCAATAAGCACTGCTTTTGG